TGCGATGCGCGTGTCTAAACCATAAACCTTAAACTCGAAACCCTAAAACTTAAACCCTAAACCCTAAACCTTAAACCCTAAACCTTAAACCCTAAACCCTAAACCTTAAACCCTAAACCTTCCGTGCCCGCACTGCTGTGCGATGCGCGTGTCTAAACCCTAAACCTTAAACCCGAAACCCTAAAACTTAAACCCTAAACCCTAAACCGTAAACCCTAAACCTTAAACCCTAAACCCTAAACCTTCCGTGCCCGCACTGCTGTGCGATGCGCGTGTCTAAACCCTAAACCTTAAACCCGAAACCCTAAACCTTAAACCCTAAACCCTAATCATGTCAAGCCCAGGCAAAGCTGATCGAAACTTGGCCTTTGCAAAATGGAGAATCAATTGGAAAAGAAGATGGCAGTTGAAATGTAAATTGCGATATGCGTGGTTGACTGAGAATGACAGAGTATCCTCTATAATGCAGAGCAAAATGACCAAGATAGAAAACAATGCTTTGGTAATTTCAGCCCAGTTATAATTGGTAGTTTCCCAAAATAAAGGGACCCCAATATAGACCCTTATATATTATAATCCTTATTATGGGAACCCCCAAAAAAGGTAGCCCTAATTTTGGGAAACCCAGTTGGTTATAACTGATACTTGTTTCACTGGACAGCTAAGCCTAATTCCGCCATGGTGCAGAGTTCAGCCGTCCAAGGACGTCCACATGTCCCACTTCTTCACACTTTACGGAGGTTCTGAGGACCCGCTGCAGTTAATGCATTTGCGGCAACAATTTTCGTTCATGGTACAAGCTTTGGATGGCAGGCAGACTTTGTGGCCGGCTTGGAGTGGATGAAGGCAAACGAGGAGCTGCAGAATTTCTGCTGGGGCTTCCTCATCTTCCAGCAACCCTGAAAGTCCTGCCCAATTAGCTCTCTTTGCTTTCAGGGGTCCCCGGTTGCAGGATGCCAACTGGCATGCCTACCAGATGTGCATCCAGCAGATTGAGTTTGAGCCATTTGCTCAGATGCTGCGCCGGCGCCTGAGATGGCCCAAGCAGTTGAGCTTCAAGAACAACTTCTGGACAGCTTCTCTGAAATCACATTTCTGTCGCCGTTTCAGCTCAGAGCCGTAGATCCCAAGGAAAAAATGGTTCTGAAATTTGAAGATCCAGAGAACTTCCTGAACCCGATCATCCCCGGAGGCTTTCCTGATCCGTCGATTTGCCGTGTCGGGGACACCTACTACATTTGCAATTCCTCGTTCGAGTACTTCCCAGGTCTGCCTATCCATGAAAGCAAAGATCTGGTGAATTGGAGCTGGGTGGGGTACGGGCTGCATAGAAAAGAGCAAGCAAGCTCAGCCGTGAATCTTGTCGATGTGAAGTCTGAGGATGGTATTCAGGCTCCATCTCTGCGTTACAAGGATGGGACTTTCTATATTATCACGACTTGTGTGTACCGTCCACCTGGAACTGACGAGGGAACCTGCACAAATTTCATCATCACTGCAACGAACATTCGCGGACCCTGGTCTGATCCACACGTTATCGAAGGAGCCCCTGGCATAGATCCGGATATATTCTTCGATGATGATGGCAAGGCCTGGTACGTAGGCACCGCAGCACCTGACAAGCCCAACTATCCAGGCGAAGGTGCCCAGGCTGCAGTAGTCTGAGAGAGCCATGGAAAAGATAGCAACAGAATCAAGCGTGCGCATGCAAGGAGAGATCTACTGTCACGTGCCATGCTCAGTGGTGCCCAATGCCATGTTTCATGTCAGAGCAAGTCAAACGTGTCATGCAAAAAAAGCATTCACGTGCCTGGCTGCTAGCCTGCTTGCAACTACAGGAACTCGATCTGTCAGCTTTTAAGCTGGTGGGGGATCGGCATCACCTGTGGCGGGGAGCACTCTACGGCGGCGTCTTCGTAGAGGGGCCACACATGTACAAGCATGAAGGGTCCTACTATCTGATGGCGGCAGAAGGCGGCACCGGTGTCAATCATGCAGAGGTCATTGCCATAAGATGCTTGGTTGCCCTGGGCTGTGCTGCACGCTTCTTGTGTTGTTGGGCCTGTAGGCTGAGCTGAGGTGACAAGGTGACGGGCCCTTTCTATCCAAATGATCGAAACCCAATCTTGACTTCACGCAACCTCTCATATGATAACTGGGTGCACAGCACGGGACACGGCGATCTCTTCCAGCTGCCAGACGGACGATGGTACATGGTTTGTTTGGGTGTTCGAGCGGAGGAGGGAAAGGCTGGTATGAAGCGATCCAACATGGGTCGAGAGACGCATCTGCTGCCGGTTCGGTGGGAGCGGGAACCAATGGATTGGCATTCCCTGGGGCCCTCCGGCGCCCGCCTGTGGCCAGTTTGTGCGCCAGACACGGGACGGGTTGAAAGGCAAACTGCGCTGCCCTTCAAGTCCATGCAGCTGCATGCTTGCAACACCTTCCGCGATACTTTTGAAGGCCCAGAGCTACACCCAGAATGGAATTTCCGGCGTGTGCCAAAAGATGGAATGTACACCCTCAGTCCAGGATGTCTACGGCTGAATGCGCAGCCACAGGTGATCGAAGAGCGAGTATCCTGCAGTTTGATGGGAATTCGACAGCGGCAGAGCGAATTTACTTTTCTCACCAAGATGACGTTCAAGCCAGCCACCGATGGTGTGGAAGCTGGCACCAGCGTGTTTCAAAAGGATGACAACTACGTGAATTTTGTGGTAAGATTAGTGGAAGGAAAGCACCGGATATGCATCAGTTTGAAAGAGCGTGAGAAGGAGGAGCGCATCCTCCATGATGAAGATCTCAAAGCATATGAGGGGACCCTCACGTTCAGAATTGAGTCCTCCAGCCATGCATACCACTTCAGCTATTCTCTAGATGATGGTGGGAGCTTCACCTCCTGTGCAGAGATGGAAGCAGATCTGCTCTTGAGCTATGGTTACACCGGCAGCTATTTAGGACTTTACTGCACAAGCAGAGGCAAGTCATCCAAAGACTATGCCGAGTATACGTTCATACAGCACTCAGCTGTTCTGCGCTTGCCCGCTCACCAAAGTGCTGCGGGGTCTGCCTAATGATGTTCTTCTTGGCTGGGTGGGGAAACCTGCTGTCGGGGAAACCCGTTTGATTTCAATGAAGTGGACACGCCAAAAGAAAGCGTGCTTTGCCAGGGGTCGAAGTGGCGAGCGCAATGCATGTTGCAACCAGCATCCACCCTAATCTCTCACCGCTGTGCATTCCAAGGAGCAGACATGTGCCTCTGCTGCGGCAAGCCTTTCAGCTCGCTGGAAGCTGAGAGCTGAAAAGTCCAACCAAAATCGTCACTAGATGAGTTATAGTCTAAACTCCTTAAAGGGGGGCTATATAGGGGATTATATAGGGGACTACTATAGGGCTTATTAACCAGCTTGTTTGATGCACCCCAATATAATACCCCTATATAACCCCTATATAACCCATTAGAGTAGTTTCCATTTTCTTTTCCATTATCCCTATATAACCCCAATATAATACCCCTATATAACCCCAATATAACCCATTATATATCCCAATATGACCCCAATATATACCCTATATTCCCTATATAACCCATTGTAGTAGTTTCCATTTTATTTTCCATTGTCCCAATATTTAACCCCAATATAATACCCCTATATAACTCCCATATAACCCTATATAACCCCTATAAGCCTTGTAGTTTCCATTTTCTTTTCCATTATCCCCATATTTAACCCCAATAACGAGGCCGGGCCATCCTCTCCCGGTGTCGCGAAGCCCGTACATGATGTCTGCCACGGGAGATGTGGAGCCGCCTCCACCTCCTCCTCCACCGGCCGAAGTGCCTGCGCCCTAGGGTCTTTGCAAAGAGCATTCAAGTAGAAGTTGCACGTTCTGAAAGATCAGGTGATATGCCATGCCCTGGTGACCCCCATGAGCGGCTCACAGCGGAATTTTCAGCTGTGACTAGCTGCCTCTGTCTTTGCGATTCTGCTCGGAGAGGCACGCTCGAGCCTGTGGCCAGGTAGCGGGCATGCAAGTCAGAAGTATCAAAATGGAAACTACTATAATGGGTTATATAGGGATTATAGGGTATATATTGGGGTAATGTTGGGATAATGGAAAATCAAATGGAAACTACTCTAATGGGTTATAGGGATTATAGGGTA